ATCAAATTATCATTAAAATCAATTTTCAATTGCACAAGTTATATTCCAAAATTTTAGTCAAAATTTGAGATTCATTTTTGGCATAGTATGTCCAAATTGGAAAAACTCTACATCCAACAAAGTTGTAGCCCTTCGAGTTAGTTTTCCAACTCTTTTAATCATCTCAATCGGATATCGGGAGAGAAATGTATGGCCAAAATACTGACTTCTATGTAGAGATAAAAAATCCGCCTCGAAAGCAAATTTCCTTATTCGATTAGAACTCTTTTGTAAACCAATTTGATAGTGATTTTCCCTAGTTTTTTACTCCTACAAGTACCTAACAACAGAATACATATTGGAGACCTCTAATATACATCTCATACTCCAAAATTAATCAATTATTATCATTAAAGGAGGAAGATTTATAGTTTTTGAGAGAGAATTGAGGGGAATTTGCAAGAATTCAATTGATTGAATATTCAAACTTGTTTTTTGAGCAAAGAAGAGAAGATGCAAGTGGAGATTTATCAAAAAATCATTGAAGAGATTCAANAATATTCAAACTTGTTTTTTGAGCAAAGAAGAGAAGATGCGAGTGGAGATTTAGCAAAAAATCATTGAAGAGATTCAAAATTTCAAAATTTATCTCAATCTTCTCAATTTATCAAAAAATCGGGTTGTCTTTTACTTAAATAAAATTTCTTGTAATTTCGATATGTTATGCTAGTTTTATATATTGTCAGGATGAGATGAACACTTGTTATCACATTTTCAGTTTTTAATTAATTATTTTGACTTTAATTTGACTTAATTTGTGGATGTTTATTATTGTTTTATCGTTCTTTTCTATTGCTTGATTACCAATTGAATTGCTAGTGGATTTTATTGTTATCGAGAGAGAAAATAGAGTTTAAGCACAATATAATAAACATTGTAAGGTTTGATAGAGAATATAGATATACCTCTATACTTTATATGGTTTCAATAGGTGTTCTAGTACTTGTTAATGCATTTATCATATTTGCATCTTTTATCGAGAGATAGAAGGATCACATAAGGGGAATATATTTGATCGTTATCGGGAGAGGCTTTCAATTAAATTAGAAATATTAATCAACATAAATGATTTCAAATTGTCACTTTAATTGTTACACTAAAAATGGAATAATAGCGAATTTGACATCTTAGCAATACATCTCACATATTTAAAAAACACATTTACTTACTTTCATTAGTGATAATTTAGATATTAGTATTGAAAAAAAATCACAAATTTTGTTTGTTCTTCGATTAAAGTTGTAATTAATTTTAATTCAGTCAAACACATAGTTTTTGTAGGTTCGATGCTCTATTAATCACTATATTAGTTGACCATAATCCTGTACACTTACGGATTTTCAAAGGATCACTACACATTTAATGAGATCCACATGCTTTAATCCTTTAATATAATTATGCATTGAGAAGAAATTAATATACACTTACATGGTGACTACGTGGCAAACGGTGTTATTAACAAAGGTGCAGTCGCAGGTTACTGCATTCTCAGATCCTTGAGGTGCATTAGGGGTACTCCAATCTATTCCTCCGCTGCAAGGATCCACAGTAAAATTCCAGTTCTTCCCTAATGTCTTTCCTATTTGCTTCAATGCATCCACTGCAAGAATTTTATAATAAAAAGTGACTACATTCTTCCATGAAAAAGAAAAGAATCAGCAAGAACCAGCAGAATATTGTATTGTACCTTCATCAGGTGCCAAAG